AATGTTCAGACCAGGGTGGATTGATTTGAATCAAGGCAATATAAATCACTGATTTGAATCATGATTTAAATAAAAAATAATTGATTTAAGTCAAGTTACCAAAAAAGCTTAGGCTGTGCTTAGAGTAGGGATGTGAAAGTGTAACCATGTACACAATTGTACCGTGTATTGGGCTCATCAGTTAACCTTCATGATTACATGTAAGGCCAGGAGGCAGCTCTGCAGGAGCCAGTGCTCACAGGGAGCCGGCTTAAAAGCCAGCTCCCGCTCAGGAAGCATGGATTTGGGGCATGTTTTCCTAAATCCAAGAAGACGCCATTTAAAATATGTAAAGAAGGTTTTTTAGTACTATATGGAGGTTTCATTACCCCACCTCTTGAGCATCCACCCCCATTCACAACTATTCAGGAAAGTAGGGATCCAGACCTGTAAAGCTGATTGTGTAGCTACGGAAGCATTCCTAATTCCCAATATCATAGTGCCTAAGGATTAGCAGTGAAAGGAAGGTGAAGCCAGGGCTCTGCTGCATGATGCTGCATATCTTATGGGATTTATTGAGCCAACTGAAATTAGCAGCCAGATATTGAGCCCGTTGCTTTGTCTTTACAGCTCTGCCATTTGCGATATCTAACATGGAAAATATGTATCATAGGGTATGTCTACACTACCACCCTAGTTCGAACTAGGGTGGTTAATGTAGTCATTCAAAGTTGCAAATGAAGCCCGGGATTTAAATATCCCGGGCTTCATTTGCATCTTGCTGGGCCCCGCCATTTTTAAATCCCCATTAGTGCGGACTCCGTGCCCGTGGCTACACCCGGCACGGAGTAGGTAGTTCGAATTAGGCTCTCTAATTCGAACTACCGGTACACCTCGTTCCACGAGGAGTAACGGTAGTTGAATTAGGGAGCCTAATTCGAACTACCTACTCCATGCCGCGTGTAGCCGCGGGCACGGATTCCGCACTAAGGGGAATTTAAAAATGGCGGCGCCCGGCAAGATGCAAATGAAGCCCGGGATATTTAAATCCCGGGCTTCATTTGCAACTTCGAATTGTCTACACTGCCACCCTAGTTCGAACTAGGGTGGCAGTGTAGACATACCCTCAGTCTGTAAGGGACCACAAGACTTCTTGTTGTTTTCTGAATGATTTAAGTTACTAACCAGTTGCTCCAGTCAGCCTTGATATCCGCATCATTTTCGCATCAATAAGCAGTTTTCCTTATGACGTTTCATTCTTGCTAGGGATGTTAATGTCTACACTGCCACCCTAGTTCGAACTAGGGTGGCAGTGTAGACATACCCTCAGTCTGTAAGGGACCACAAGACTTCTTGTTGTTTTCTGAATGATTTAAGTTACTAACCAGTTGCTCCAGTCAGCCTTGATATCCGCATCATTTTCGCATCAATAAGCAGTTTTCCTTATGACGTTTCATTCTTGCTAGGGATGTTAAGAAGTGTGTAATTTGTTAATCGTGTAGTCAACAAAAAATGTGTTGACTACATGATTAACTGATAAGGACTATCACTGCCATCACTCAGTCCCGGCTTGTGCCAGAACTATCCTGCTGTAGCTCTGCAATATAAGCACCTTAAGAGACAATGCACGGCCAGGCTGGCTTAGTCCCAGCTCACGCCAGGATGCGGCATAAACCCCTGCTGTGACTCTGCACTACATGTACTAAGAGTTGGTACGTGGGCAGGCTGGCTCAGTCCTGGCTCACACTGGGACTTGGCAACAACCCCCACTGTGGCACTGCACTACAAGCACTAAAAGCCAGCACATGGGCTCTTAAAATGCCCGTAGTGCAGACCCGCAGTGAGAGTAGTTGCCGGGTCCCGGCATCAGCGGGGACTAAGCCAGCCTGTTGGCCAGCCTGCTAAAAAATGTACTTGATAAGTTGCAGGGGGAGGGAGAGGAGTGTGCAGTCGATAGCCTAACCAATGAGCACCCACTTATCTGTTAATCATTTAATTGACTACACTATTAAATCTCTAATTCTTGCAACTAGGCACTGCATCATCTTCTTTCACTGCTTACACTTGACATATTTTCCTTTTTTATCCAGGGAAAAAAAATCTTCAAAATATTCCCAGATAGGGTCTCTTATGACCAGAATATCCAGAAGCCATGACAGTTTTTTGGTGGCAAAAGCATGGGGGAATATAGAAAATTGTGTGTGCATTGAATAATGTCTTCCCTTTTTCTTTCCAGTCCACTTTACTGTTTCTTTCTATGCTGCCTCTGTCCTTTCCTATATATTGGCTCTCTGTCTTTAAGACAATGTCTTAACTAACTTTACCATGCCTGGCTAAGGTCCATCAACACATAAGCACAGAACAAAAGCAATCCCATACAGACTGTCTTTCTTTGCATATGTTACTTTTTAGTCTTGCTAAGAAACAGGAATTGAAAGCCCAGAAATTTCAAGAAGAAAGAACTGGTAGTTAAACTGGACAGATTAAAGCCATGAATTCACTTTTATGAAACTGTAAGTATAGGTGAGGCATGTTTGTGACAAGATATAATTATAACTGTTATTTTTAAATGAGAAATGTAGTATTTTATTGATGAGTTTTAAAAAATAAAAAAAACTTTTACATAAAAAAATCTGTTTTTTTTAAATCATCTAATTTTATCCTCCCTGGTTCATATGCCTGTTTGATTAAATTGATTATGTGCTGACCCATAATATGGCAGACCAGGAAAAGATGATCATCATCTTCTGTAGAATTTCATCTAATCAATCGAAAGAGCAGGATGAAGCTGCTTATGGACTTCTGTGGCCAGTATCTAAGAAATGCTCCAGCTATGTCTAGTCTGCCACTTTCTGTTGGAAAAAGGTACGCAAATTGTGCTGTGCAATTTGCGTACCTTTTTCCGATAGTTTTGTTGGAAGAGGCTTTTCCGAAATGTGGCCCATCTACATTGGGACAAATTTCGGAAAAACTTTTCAGAAAATTCCTTCTTTCTCGTGGCATGAGGAAGACGAGGCTTCTGAAAGAGCGCATCTGCTCTTCCGCAAAAAATATTGGAAGAGCAGAAGCATTTCCTTGATGCGGAGTTTTTTCAGGATACCCCCGGTATCCCAGAAAAACTCCGTAGTCTAGACATAGCCTCCTGAAATATGTTAGTGTGACATTAAACCTAAACCTCACATATCTACAGCCCCTGAAAAATATACATAGCCAAATAAAGATGAAGATAAATCTCATCCAGAAACTGGCAGAAATGATCTGAGGATATAATGGGAAAATTCTATGGATCTCTTTACATATCCCAGTCTACTCTACACAAGAATATTGTTTACCCATTTGGACACATATGTCTCACACATCATTTTTCAGTTCTCAGCTTAACACTATTACGCAGATCCTTATGGATACAGCAAAGTCAATTCCACAGTTGTGGCTTCCTGTACTGGTGCAAATCTACTCACGTTAAGTTCATTACAAAATCAGGATTCTGTGGGAATTCCATCATCTTTGAGGGAACAAACATCTTCCAATATATGAAGATCTAAATAATAAACAGAGTATGATTTAAATCCAGAAAACCTTTTTGGCTTGCAGTACAAGCATTCAAAGTCTCAGAGTTCTCCCCCAAAGATCAATGGTGAACAATTTGGAAAAATGCTATTATTCCATAGAAACAGCTCATCAAGGACTCAACAAAAGAACCCAGTAGCTTTACACTCCCATGGAAAGTATGGTCCACTCTGAACCACATCTGCTACTGCATATGACGTAGCAGGTGCACTTACTTCCTCCATAATCAGGGACTGAAACGCAACTGTATTTGTGACTGAAACACAACTGGAAATGGATTTCAAATGACAGAATACCTAAACAACCAATGTCCCAAACAGTCATAGTCCAGTAATATTCCCTGCACGTCACTTGAAGTAATCTAGATGTATATATCTAACACTGCTGAAAGTAGAAGATTGACACTAGAGATGCAAGAAAATCTTCCATATTTGTACTTCATGATGGTCTGTAATCCTTTTTTGGGGTACCCACTACAACATAATCACAAATATTTGAGAAGGCCTGCACATACTCACACTTTATTAGACACATTTATTTATTTGGCATATGAAATTGATAAAACAAGTGTGATTCATAAACACCAATCTGGCCATCATAAAGTCTTCTTAAATATAGTATGCTTCTTTGGTTTTATACCTTAATTAATTAAAAATAACAGTCATTCATGAAAGGATGGAGTAGGGTGGAATAGGGTTCCCTTGTGGAGATTCCTACCAGAGAAAACTGAAGCAAGTGAAGCTGAAAGTATTTTAAATAATAATTGACTTTGTAACCCAGTTGCAAGTGTGCCTGCTGGTTTTACTAATTTTATTTCTCCCTAGAGGCCACTAGCTGAGGAATCAATCTCCAGCCTCCAGCAGCCCCCACCCTGAACACAGTGTGTGTGACTGGTGTGGTGACAGTAGGAGCCTGTTCAAAATAAGATCCTGAAAGCCATTTTGTGCAGAGGAGTCGCAGTAGAACAGTGTGCACGGATGCACAACTGTGAAGATGCATTCTAAGGTGCTCAGTCGCTAGGGCTCTGGAGTGACAATAGGGAGCTCTCCATGGGGTGGATGGGAGGAACGTGGGGCACTTTTCCTATATAGGGTGCCTCCCTGTGCGGGGTTGGCTGGAAGGTGGGGCACCCACCTTATGGGCAAGGCAATAAGGGGGGGGGTCTTTCCTCAATGAGCAGGGGTGTTCGGCTGGCAGTGGGGTGATCACCCCATGGGAGGCAGTACGGCGTCGCTCGAACATTTGGGACGGGGTGAGTGGGTAATAGAAGTGCTTGGCCCTTTAAGAGCGCCCCTCGACCATGTTGCGCCAAGAGTTCACGTGTTAGCTCTACCTAACATGCTGCCTTCTCCGGTGACCCCCGGACCGAGTACCTTTGCGCAGCTACGATTGGCTGGCTTCGCGCATTCCCGTCTATGTGATTGGTGAGAGGGAAAGGGGACCTGCCCCCGCCGGCAACCAGCAGGTTACGTTGTGTGAGGGTGGTTAGTTCCTGTACTAGGCCCTGGTGGGGGGAGGGGGATTACTGGCGACTAACTGCCTTGGGGGAAGCGGGGTCCGAGCCGACGCTGGGGGCCATGGTGTCCGGGGTGTAGCGGAGGCGCCGGGCGGAGCAGTAGGGGGCACCATGATAATTGAGAACGTGGACGCCCTCAAGACCTGGCTGGCTAAGTTACTGGAGCCGATGTGAGTGAGGGGTCCCCAGAGAGCAG